AAAGGAGGGGCAAAAATAAACACACACTCTTATAAATCTCTTTTTTACCTTACAAATCTCTGGGAACAAAGCTGCAGTTGTTGCAAATGCTACACCTGAGAGATCACTCTAGGGCTGGATTGGCAGAAGATGTGAACGAGCCTTCAAAAGGGGGGTGGGGGGGAAGAATTAAATGAGAATGAATTAACCTCTGCCTTGTAAGCTGTCTTCCTTTTTCCTTTTGAAGTGTCAGTTTATGGTTTTGATAAATGTCAGAAGCATCCTACTCAAATATGATTCTTCTCCGTTTAATCCAGTGTTGTTAATTTTTTTCCTCTCCTCCCCCCAAAGATTACTCTGTCCTTATTCTGGTTTCTGATCAGACAAGTGCTTGAGAAATGGGATGGTTTTGACAGCAAAATGTGTTTCTTATTGAATTAGTTTCGCGAAGGAACTAAAGGTGGGAGATGAGGTTATTCTTTCATGCAGTTTGGGAAATTCATTAACTTAAAATAAGAAGTAAATATTCTGCCTTGCCTCCATACTTTACTTCTACATTTTTATTACTATTAAAATATATGTATTATATTTTGCATAATTGACTGTTATTGTGTTTCACTGGTAAATGGCATACACATATGCAAGCTAGTTGCCTGTACCCAATTTTTCTATTCAGTACCTGATACACCAATAGTTGTGGCACAGTGTATTTCAATAGACTTTATCTACTCCCTACCCAGAAGAAAGGCTTATCACACAATGATTGTGTGATAATTTTGTAGGAAATATGAATTAAAGCAAAGTTACCATTTCTGCCAAGTATGTTAATGTATTTGATTCTGAAGTTACCTAGTAAGAATTGCAGTCTCTTTGTCTTTTTTTCCGTCTGTTCTGAATAACCTGTTCAGAACGTCTGCTTTTAGGAATGTGATCTTTTTTKTGTGTGTGCTTGTGTATTTGAGGTTACTTAAGGGACAAGGGTTTCCTGCCCCAAGATCCTGGGGCAGGAAAGGGAGTACAGATTGGCCGCTTGAGGTTGCTTTACTTTCTAGAAAAAGATTAAATAAGTCCTGCGTTGACACTGAGAAGTTGTAGTCGTGGACCAAGACAAGTATGTTTGTGTCGCACAATCCTTACACAGAACGCATAGACCTTGTATATGAGACTGGGGAGAAGTAGTAAATAAACACAGGCTAATCTGGAAGTAAAAGAATTAGAGGGCAATGTTCATTAGTGCAGTAGGGAGCAGTCACAGGTTATGATTGTTTAATTAGGTAGACATTTTTGTATTATAAACATCATTTCAAAAGAGAGCCTTAGCTGAAGGGGAATAGAGAGGGAGACCTCTGTTAGGTCTCTATTTAGAGGTGTGTGTGAGATTCTTGGGTGACGAGACTTTCTTGCTGTCAGTGAAAGCATTAATAGCATCTCTTTGTTCACACATCTCTTCTTTTGCTTGAATTACTGACTTGAATGAGGTCTAATGATGATGTTGTGCCCACATGGGTTTTGCATTTCTCGTTACATTTCTCTTTTCAATTGAGTTTTTCAACTTAGAAGTATACATTGTGTTTATCTTGTACATATTATCTTGCAAAATTATACAGAGACTTTTAACTTGAGACAAGTTGAAGGTACTGAAGAAAGTTGCCTTTAATCTCAAAGTAGAGGGGTTAAATTACTGTGAATATAGTAGATATATATTGCATGGTTTGTCTGGTTTGTCTAATTTATTATTTAGAAGGTCACTAACACCTATTATCGACTATTAAAATTATTATTACTAGAAAGATAAATCAGTAGACTAACTGGTCATATAAATCATCTGTAAAGCAGGAGCTGAACCGAGGTTATTCTGAGGAAGGGGAAGAGCCCTTGCTTGCACTCGTGTTATGTCCACTTAGAAGGAAGAAATCAGGTGGCCAGGTCACAGTGCAGTTAGGAAATGCAAATGCCATCAGGTATGGGGGGAGAAGATGGTCTAGTTTTCTCCTCTTCTTTGAGAATGAGGTTCAGTCTACAATGGTTAGTGAATATGGGGAAATAAAAACTAACAATAAAAATAAAATTTTAAGCCTTTGCTGTCTAAGCATGCTGTTTGCGTGCTGGCTTGATTAGRCTTCCTTCTCACATGACAAAGCTGTCCAAAAATCTGTTTTGTGTGTTAGGTTTGTTTGATTTGATGAGCTGTCAGACTTGGATTCAAGCTCTGTGCCGTCCCCGTCGCCCTGTGCTACCTCAGCTCCTCCTCATTACTACTGGCAGGCACCCTCGCCCATTACCGCACGGAGCCCTGCTTTGCAGTGACAGGTAGCTGTTATTTATGGCGCTGTTTAGTCAGGCCTCCTCGCTGTAGTAAGAATGTTCATTCTGCTAAACTGCAGGGCGGGCGCCTGGCCAGGAGCTCCTACCTCGGCTGCAGATCGCTGAACAATTTGCATCTTATGAATTGGAGCCCAAAGTCRTGTTCATTTAATCAACTGCTCCAGCGCAAACATAGATGAAACCACCAAGTGATTTCTTTGGCAAAAGGCAGTTCATGTTTTGTAACTCTGGTYCTGTGCAGTTTTCCCAGGGGAATAACCTCTGCTTTTATCTCATTCCTAGAGTTCTCTTGCATGAATAGAGTTTTATGAATTAAACCAACAATATATTTTTATGGTTCTATTTTAAAACACTGAAAGAATTGTCCCTGAAAGTTGTACCTTAAGCCATAGCAAGGGGGACATCTCCTTTTCTTTCACCTACCGCCCACCCTGCACCCCATTTCATAGTGCCTGACCTCTGATTCAACTAATGCAGTGGGAAACTGCAAGCTGAAAAAATCTCACAAGAGGGTMAGGCAAACATGGGAACTGGTGAAACGGGAAGGAAGATGCTAGTGCTTTGAGCAGTAACAAATGGGTAGACTGGCTCTAGCATGGCAACTAAGGTGGCTCTAAACATACAGGATGTTACTTGAGCAGAAGTCACTGCATGCTCAAGAGGGTTATGTGGTGAGTGAACTGAACATTGGAAGGACTTCTTTCTGCTTGGGGCTGTTTCGGGGGCCCAGAGCGGATGCGGGCCAGGCAGTTGATTTTGCAGGTGCTGCTCTTCACAGCCCCTCATAGTAGTGTTATCCATCTAGAAGGACTCCATGGGGAAGAAGGCAAGGATCACATGGGCATGCCAGGCACATGGGCTACCTAAGTTGCTAGAGCAGGAAAGGACTGAGTAGTTCCCCAAGGAGCTGAGCCTCTCTTGGGACTGGTAGTGAGGGGTGAACTGAAAAAGAATACAGAAGAAGTTGTGCTTAGCAAGATGAGCAAAAGACTCTTGGGTAATTTGGGCCTCTCAGTAAATGTGTGGAAGGGAATCACGCTTTCTGACTTGGTTAAAGGAAGAAGTCCTGAGGAGGAGAGAATTGTGCACAAGGGCAAAATACACATGGGGATGTCAAAAAGAGATTCTGTACAGCTGAAAAAACATGTTCTTAAATTACATGCTCCTGTAGCATCTCTCTAAAGTTCAAACAATTATTAGAAGAAATAAACTATGTTTATGCTTGAAGACTATCAATATGCTTCCAATACTTGAGGAAAATATCCCAAAATAGGAGTGCATTGAAAACTGGGGTGCTTAGGCTGCTTGGTGATGTGATTGAAGAAGGATACAGAGTTTGGAGTTCTAAACACACAGATCTAAGTAGAGCACTTAAAGTGGTTACCTTCAAGTCAAAGAGGATCCTTTAGGTTTAAGCTGTAGGAATGAAGCAGTAGAAATATTCTGTAAAAAGGCTGTAAGGTTTCTGTGGGACTCAATCCTCTCCATCCATAACTTGCTCTTCATTTGCATGCAAGAATAATCCCACTGAAGTCCAGTGGGAATTTTTATGGACATTAACAACTCCCTATTTGGAGGTTTTTCACTAGAGAAGCACCTGCAATTAAAATTGTAGGTGATAGTGATGCTGTTGTATGACATTAGGAAGAGAAGGAGAGGGAGAGATAGAATTGTAAAATTCCAAGATATGTATTTTGTTTACTTATGCATTCAGCATTGGACTCGAGCTGTGCAGTCACTGGCCCTGCTTTTGTTTTGGGAGGAAATTGTCTCATACAATTATTACATTATTTTCAAAGAAGCATAAGGAAAAGGTTGAAGTCTTGACAGCTATGACAAAGTCTAGTGCCATAATGTGTCATCAGATAAGTGCTACTGTATGGTCTGTGGCAGTCAGCAAAGCATGGCAGCCACTATTTTTGTCAGCTTTAAAAGACAGGAAGTGTTACCCGGAGGGGAGAGAATATCAGAAGTTGACAGCCTGGTAGACATCTGGGGTTAAATGTCATCTTTTGAATAGATTTAACTTACGTATTCATTTTATTTTGTGTACCAAGTCCTGAAATTCCAGTCTTCAAATATTTATTTTGCTGTTTAATAGCACTTAAAGCATTGTGTCCGAGAGGAACAAGGCAAAGTTTCCTGCGAGAGCGAAATAGGTAAAAGGTTATGTGAGAATTTGGAATAGCTGATTATTATTCTTTATTAATAAAACAAACAACAGCTGTTTTTAGTGATAACATATATTACTTGAATTCTTCTTCTACTAAGTGAAATGACTTTCAGATTACCTAGACTTGCTGTTTTCTCTCAGTTTTTGTTTCAGTTTAACCTTTTAAATTAAAATCTTCTGACCCAGCAGGGTGTTTCATGCAATTAATGTAAATAGTTCCAGTACTTCTTTGACTACATGGTGATTCCTTTCATTTGAGAATCTGATTCATTATTTTGAATATGTCATTGCTCCCAGATTCCTTTACTTGGTGTGTTTGATAGTCTCAGCAGCAGCTTTGAAGAGAGTTGTTGCACTATTTGAACTTTGTTATTTATTGTGAGGCAAAATGCAATGAGGGACTATGATGAAAAATGCTACAGATTTTATGAGTTTTTTGCTTCTTTTGGGCAGGTTCTGTTTTTATAGACTTGTATATTGCTMTTTCTGGAGTAAAATCATTTATTTATTTTAATTTAAACAGATTCTTGAAGATGCAGAGGCTCAGCACTTGTTCCAGTCCATCCTTCCTGATATGGTGAAGCTGGCACTTTGTCTCCCTACTATCTGCACGCAGGTAAGTAGAGCTAGCTGAGAGCTCTGTGGCAGGCTGCCTTTCTGCAAAGGATAACTAAYGGCTAGGGTTGAAATAGCAGGGCCGTGTTATGTCCCTTAATAAAGATTATGGTCGAGGGTTAGGTAGTCAAATGGAGGATACTCCTGTATGGGATATAACCGAACGCTGGGGACAGGACCCTTCACTGCCGTATTTTTAGCCTGAACTTTAGTTACACCTTACTTTCTGTCTGGTAGAGATGCTTCCTGTTTTTCTTTAGTGAAACTGCCACAGGACTTCTCCGTTTTTAAATCAATTTTAGCATTTGAAATATTTCAGTCATCCGAAAATATCTGACTCTTCCTTTTAGATCTTTTTTTCAATCATATAAGTGCTATTTGCATAAAGCCTTCCTTTACACCTGCAGCATACTTTGTTCTCGTCAGAGCCTTACAGTACTTCTGCATGTACAGCCCTTAACTAATTCTTTGCAGTTATTATGGCCATCAGTCCTGTAGATGCTAAAGCTGATAAAGGGTCTATTGCTGTGAGTAATTCCACTGGAATTAATAGGACTGCTCAAATAAATGAAGATGCAGTGTGTGATGAAACATGAGCAGGATTGAGACACGTTTATAAGCTCCTTTGTCACAGTTTTCTATATCAGTTTTCTTGGACTAGAGCAGGAAAATCTCTCCATACTTTAAGGTGCTGAAGGAGTATCTTCAATTAGACATACTATTTCAAACGACATAGTTAAAATTTTCTTTTTACTTGATGGGGGAGGCTTTTGAGTGTTATAAACTTTCCAAGTATTAAGTTAAGCACAAAACTTGAATTTTGTTCAGTAATGCTTGTTATGAAGATGATGCAGTATAAGTGCTTATTATGAAGATGATGCTTATTATGAAGATGATGTACTGCTAAGCAGTATAAATGCTTAAGAATTTCTTTCATAAGCTAAATAAATGTAAAGCTAAATTTGATGTTTCAAATCCATATACCATCCAAAATGCCCTGTTTTTGTAGGCTTATAGAATTAACTAGAGCTTCTCATGCTCTCTTCCCTTCCACCTGTGTGACCTCAGTCATTGCAATACAACTTATTAATTAAATAGCCAGAAGAGTGAAGGAGATTCAGAGAATATCATAATTGCAAGAATTAAGGAGAATTTTCTTGCTTGTTTTTGGAGACTTTTATGTCGGTTTTGGGGCCGTGTATTCCATAGCCTAAAATTAGGAGCAGTTTCTGTCCTCACAAATGAAATGTAGCTTCTGCACTCCCCTGGACACAGGGCGAATGGTGACAGAGAGTGATGGAAGAACGAATTCCTATCTTACTACCRAGTAGATTTGTTGTAATCATTACTGGGCTGTTTACTAAGGAGTTGCCTCTTTTTAAGAAGATGGAGCCTTCAATGTGGTGAGGGAAAATTCCAAATGAGGAGACTAGAGCCTAGTAAAATGAAGGWCACTTTAGCTTTGGGGCTTTTTCCCCTTTGTTTTTTAATCAAAGAACCTTTGTCTAGAGSAAAATAAGCTCCTCAAATTAAAACCAATATGAAACTTTGTTTCTTACTCATTCTGGTTATAAAAGAAGTGCTACCTGTGTTGTTTCTGCAGAGATTATTAGTCTATTTTTTGAGGGAGGATAGAAGAAAATGCAGGTTGCAGGATGAGAATTATTGGAGTGACTTCCACCTTTCTTTACAACGTGCAAAATGTGGTGGGGGTGTTTTTATTTCTGTTTTTAAGATTCCCCAGGATTGYAACATACTATCTTGTTCCTTTCTCCCAATTTCCACTATTTTTGTTTGATAAGGAAAAGCAAGAAAACACAACTTATTGATTAGAAATCTGCGGTTTGTCAGGCAAGCTTTTCCCAGTCATCTCGTTTTTGACTTTAATGGTGCTTCTGATTTAAGGGTACACCAGTAACCTAAATTACTCTTGTTCTAATTTAACAAATGCAATTTGGTGCTCCTGTGTTTTTTCTCTTAAAATTGGTAAGCTAATTACTTTTCTTTTTCTCCCTTCCTTTCCTCCTGCCCTTCTCTTCTTCCCCCTCCCCGGCCTTTTGTTCCCACTTGGTAGCCAATACCTCTGCTGAAGCAAAAGATGAATCACTCGATCACGATGTCACAGGAACAAATTGCTAGTTTTCTGGCCAATGCTTTTTTCTGCACTTTTCCACGTCGCAATGCCAAGATGAAGTCCGAGTATTCTAGTTATCCAGATATTAACTTCAACAGGTATGACTGGTACGGCACTCTGAAATAATTGGACCTAATGACACTTGAAAGGAGGTATTCTTGTCATTTAAAGGAGAAGCCTGTCTCTCCTTCCACCTTTTTTAAAACTATTGTTACTAATGCCAATAGATTGTTTTGTATCTTTTTGTTTTTTTGTGTTTAGGAGAGAAGACAACTTTATCACTCAGAAATAAGAAAAGATTTTATGGTCTAAAGATGTGCTTTAATATTCTCATCTTTTTTTCATTTTATCCCACCTCTCTGTCTCCCTCCTTCCATACTCTTACTCTAACATAAAAAGTTGATATAATACCCTACCTCCTCGCAGCTGTTCATCTCAGAAGGGTTTATTTCAGTTTCAGTTGTGCCTTGGTTGCCCTATATGAACTTATTGAATGTCAGTGTGGGCCGACAGTGTTTCGGTTTCCTTTGTGTCAGTGGTGATCAGACCTTCAGGTCAGATCAGTAGGACTTGTCACTTTAGTAACTAACTATGCAGTCTTTATGAGTTCAAGGCATTTGTGGAGCTACATGGTTAAGTAAACCTGCCGTTTTGGCCACAAGTTAGCCTGAAAGGTTTTAAAACCACAACAAGAGTTTCATTAAGTATATTCTGATTTTTGAACAAACCCTTACCCTTTTTTCCTCAGTTCTAGTTTAAACACAGATTTTATTTGGAATATAAATGAGGAAGAAGCTCCTCTGTTGAGTAAAATAGTTCTCTTACACGCTTGTACCTTTAAAATATGAAAAAGTTCTTGTTCTTCTGGGCTTTTCCATTAAAGTCAGTTTTTCTTGCTTTGTCACTGTTTTCATATGTAGCGTATATGCCTTAAACAATGGAATGAATTATAAAAACAGTGTTGCCTCTGAACCAACACACTTGGTATTTGTATCATAGAAGTTGTGCTATACTTGACCTTTCCAGAAATAATTAGTCAGGTATGATGATGCACTTAATGGTTTTGGCTTTTGATGTTGTTACGAGCTAGCACAGGGTTCTCTGCACTGTGGTTTTCGAGAAAGAAACACAAAATTATTCTGGGAAAAGGCTTGCTGGCTTGATGTTGATTTCAGAAGTGCAGGGTGGACATCCATGCTCCATACAATTCAACAAATTTTCTGCAGTGACTTCATAAAAGCAAAGAAAAAAGGTAGAGACTCATTCATTACTCAATATTTATGTTCAGAGCAGTGTAAGAAGAGCTACACAGCTAATGCTGTGGTGTGAGAGTCCTGTTTGCACAGTCTATGCACCTAAAGTTGAATGTTTTCTTAAAGAACTTAAAAGGTACCATTTTTTCTCAAATTTAAGCTTGCTGTAAGTCAAGCTGTTCAATTATCAAGTAGAGAATAAAAGATGAAAAGAGATTTTTTCAATCCTGGGTTAAGTTTATATCCTCTGAACACTGCACAGCAACGTGAAGTCAAAGCAATGCAGTGTAATGGTAGCAGTTAACTCAGCCTAATGTTTTGAACTACTTGTAAAAAATTTGACAAGGTATAAGATAAATAGTCAACTGTTATGGCCTCAGACAACAACAAATGTTCAAGTAATAAGTGTTCAGGATTTTCTGCCTAATTCTGGTCAGTCTTCCTCTTTTTTTCTTAGCCTGTGGCTTCTTAGCCCATATAGGATGGTTGCTATAAACTGAAGTCAATTCCTACAGTATTCTTTAAAAGGGATGATACAGCAGACAACATTCAGACTCTCCTCTTGCATTATGTATAAGGTAACTGAGGACACGTAAGGTAGAATACAACCTTTATTTGCTTAAGTGCAGGAATATTGTTGCCATATTGTTGGAGAAAAGACAAGAACCTGATGTCCTCTGGTTCCTCAGGATTAAAAGAAGCTGATTTCCGTATTTGCTAATTTATGGCTGGTCTGTAACAAGTATAGTCTCATTTTATTAATGCTTCTTTTGTACAATCATTTGTTGGACCAAATACAGTATTTGTTCTTTGTGTTAATTTAATGAGCAGGACAGTGAACAAGAAGAGATGAAAAATAGAGGTGTGACTCACAGTGAATGAAGTGAATGTGCCAAAAGGGATTAATGGCATAAAAGCAAAAGGAGATTGGCATGAGTGAATGATGGAGAGACTACTGCAAGATTTTACACCACTTCTGTCATGCTATTTCATATAACCTGACTTAGTTTAAATCTAAAATGAGAGGGAAAGGGCAGGAGGGTGGACAGCATCCCATTTCTTTCCCCTCTGTCAGTTCTGTCGTTTTTCCTCTTGAAAATATAGCCCTTCAGTAGAAAGGAAAGACCATAAAATATCATGTTTCAACCATTATCTCAGATTTGTAAAGAAGACAAAGTTTGGCCCATTGCAGTGTATATTTTCAGCTTCTACAAAAAGCCTTTCACAAAACTGGATATGTTCAGAAGACAGTAGGCAATGGCTGAAATTGCATTTTTTTGAGCCTTCTTTCGTTTATAACAATGTTTTCATTTAAAGGCTTTGGAGACTATTCTTCTGCTCTGTTTAGAGCTGGACACAAGAGACGGTGGTGCACAGCAACCCTTTCTCCCCTTGGTATTATAGTCCTCCTTTTCTTCCAGGCTTCGCTCTTTCCCTCATGTCATTTGTCTGCTGCACGACTGTGGGTGAATTATTTTGTTCCTTTGGGTACAACGACATCACGTGCTGTCAATCTGTAATGAGGCAGGATTGCTGAGCGCAAGTGAGCACTGATTACACGAGTGCAATTTTTTAAGCAAATATGGTTATCCTAAATTATGCATGCCCTTTCTGAGTTCATATCAAAGGCTTGATAAGCAGGAAAATATTTTTGTCCTCCCTTTTATCTTAAAAACACATTGTAATTGTAGACAATTTCTCTTGAGTGTTTTCAGTTTTATGCAGCTGCTGTTGATCAAGTCACATTATACAAACTTAAATATTAACATGTTATTAAATAGTTTTAATCCGATATTTAAATAGCATATTGTGATTTGGATCCCTCTCCTCGCTCAATACAAATCTTTTTGACAAAACAGCAGGCACAAAGCACAAGAATTTAGTTTACCCCTTTCTCTAGGAACAGTTTAGCAGTGCACCAGGGCTGGACCCTGCTAGCGCAGTGGAGAGGCCCCATTGCCGAGATGCTGGTGCACGCCGATAACCGAGACTGATGGGAGGGAAGAGCCTTTTGTGTGTTAGCATCACATAAACCAGCAGGGCTTCAGCCTTCTTCTCCCTGTTGGGCTTGCTCAGTGGGCACAAGGAGAGGGAGAGTTTCTCTTGGAAACGGGAGCCCTCTGGTTCAAGGGTCTTGTGCCACTGCAAAAGAATGTTACAGAAGTTACAATAACTCCTTCCCTGTTTTGCTTTCAAAAAAACTAAGCAAGTTACACTGGACATATTGTGCATTTATAGTATTACASTAGCTGTCATGAAAGTTATTTAGATCATATTTGTAATTAAAGATWGTATGTAGTAAGATATACCTGGTAGACCTTTTGGCACAAAGTAAGGCATTTGGTCCGAAAACAGAACTGCCACTGCTCCACTAAGACTGAATTTCTTCGATCGTGTCAAGCAACTGATTGGAAATGAGGAAAAGAAAATACACTAGTTAAGATATATATGTATTTTATGGAATGTGTAATATATGAAAGGAAATGGGTAAACTGTATAGTACATTTATAAAGGAGAATTGAAATCTAATTTAGCAGTAATGCAATAGTCTCTTCATAAACAACATCAATCCTKCTGTGCTAATGACTGTTCGCTGGGGAATRTGTTATCCGGGGCCTTTGAGAGACCTTGGTTTGGACTGAGAGATGCATCGTTCCTGGGTGATTCTAGGTTTTCTCYCTGCCTTAGGTTTGTGTTCTCATTAGCCTTTTAAATAGAGCATTGTTTTCTGAAAAATTTCAAGTGAACACTTGTACACAGTAGATGATGATTTACTCTTTAAATAGCCAATTTTAAAAGGAAATTAACCTTAACATGTCCAATGTAATTAATTTGCTTTAGTGATTAAAACACTGCATTGATGTCTGAATACTTCTTTGGTAAATTACTAAATATGGTAATATAATCATTACTAAATACGGTAATATAATCTACTATTTAATTGTATTGTGGGATGGCTCTTGCTTTAGATGCTCGATATAGAACATTTTAGCTTGCTGTTCTTTGGTCATTGAATGCTTGGAGTCAGCACCTTTAGATTGTGTCAAAGTCAAGATGTGATCTTAAGTATAAATCTGATGAGTATTTAAGATTCTTAGATCATCTCTTCCTAGAAACAGCTTTATAATCTCAGTACTCCAAATTAAACAAAAATCCTCYCCAAAAGACCACAGAGAATAGGACTGGATATGAGTGTGTGAGAAAGGAAGAATATCAGAAAGTTGCATGCTTTATTTCTGTATTTTTATACAAATCTCGATGAAAACTCACTATTTATCCTAAAAATGATRTTCTGATTGAACTTAAGGATGTTGAAGAGGTTCAGTGTTCTGAAATAATATCAAGATGACAAGCTGAGAACTATGATATTTGACAGTAAGTAAGAAACTGTCAGTGAGATTGAATTATTGAAAGTATCATTTTCTTTCGTACTTGGTGCCAAGGGGGTTCAAAGCTTCACTTGCTTTGTGCATAAACAAGGAAATAAGCAGGAGCTTAGGAAGTCTGTGCTCTTAGCAGGGCACTAGACGAGATGTCCTTGTCCATATAATGTCTACACCTAATTTGAAATATGCATGTGGCTAAAGCTACTTTGAGCACAATTGAATCAAAACGTCAAGTAATGTGATAGAATCAAATGGCAGTGAAAAGTTTTGGTCAGCTTTGCAAACCAACGCCTGCTAATTCTTCATTACAAATGTGAAACAGTTTTTGGAAAATGAGAACTTTTTTCTTCTCCTCTGTTCTTACAACTCCTTAGGGAAGAAAAAGTTGCAAGAGAAGTAGAGGTGCTTCTGTTTCCTTGCCTGGGTAGCTGAAGTAATCCAAAATGTTTGGCTTTTTGTGCCATACAATACTATATTAGTTTTCCTTTGTGGTCCCATGTGGCAGTATGCAATGTTAGCAGTTTCCATTGAGCTTGCTAGCAATTGAGAATGCTTAGCAGTTTAATGAACGTAGCCGTTAATCATCTCGAGAGTGAGGCAAATCTGAAAGTAGCATAGGAAAGCGCAATATTTCCACTTCTGTGTGTTTGCCTCAATTAGGCTCAGGTTTGAATTGTAATGGGCTACAAAAATGAAGATATTTCTTTCTTCAAGTGTTTTGTCAGTCTGTACATTAAACCAATACTCTGCTTAATGATTAGCACTTTGAGGTTGAAAATCATTTCTCTTCTGTATTTTCACTTCAGCCTTAGCTTCTCCCTTTTTTCTGCTCCATCTTCTTACCGGGGGAAATTCACCTGTTTTTACCTGTTCCTTACAAATCCTTGTTACACTTCTTTTTGTAGGGAAAAAAAAGAGTTTTGTCAATGTCTTGCATTTGTTTAGATGCAGTGTTATCTTTATTGAGAACATAGCAAAAGGCAAGAAACAATGCAGTTGGTCTTCAGCTATAGCAGAAAGGCTAAAGACACTTCAGGTTTGCTCTACAGGCTGATTTTACAAGTTGGGACACCTCTGACTGATTTATTTAAGCACACACTTGCAGATGGCCTCTGTGTCTGCCACTCGCTCGTGGATGGGAAGTTTATCCAGCACACAGCAGCATGAACAACATCTGCGGATCTTGCAGATTCTTACAGGGGCGCTGGTTTTGGAGGCATGTGACACGTGATTTCAGTTTAAATACATTATCGTGCCCTTTTGGTAAGAAACATTCAGAGGATGTTCAGCCTGGGGATGGAAATACCATTATGATAGTACTTACTGCTATCTGGGGGCTTAAACTTCATGATTGTAGTGGTTCTTTCTGTGCTTGTAAAAATTACTGAGGCCAGTTWTTGGAGTAACATCAAGTAATCATTTAGCTCCTTGGAAACAAATGTTACAAGTAAGCTATTGTATTGCATTATCCCTTAATCAGAAGCAATATATTTTGGAACTGTTTGCTTAAGATGCTTCAGCTTTTCCCTAGTAAGCTGTATCTATGTCAAGGTCATTTTTGTGTAGCACTTAATGTTATTAAATCATCAAGTGGATGTTGCATCATTTGAAATGCACCCTTTAAATACTTTGCAGATTTGCCATGAGGTAATGAGGTAAATCTGTGCAGCACTCTGTGCTTTATTTCTGTGTATCTTTCTCTGCATTTTCCTTGCGTTTCTTATTCTTGGAAATAGCACACTTGTGCAGTAATGCTGAAATTCCCATGTTAGTTCTTCATTGCAGAACTCTAAGRTAGCTTGGTTTTCTGCCACACTCTTTTTTGTCTCTGTCTTCAGGTACAGCTTGTGGAAACCTCCTGGGTTGTTAATGTCCCTGTGATCCAGTTTCTTGGGAGATTTAAAAGAACATACGAAGCAATCGCATTCAACTGTATTAAGATCAGTAATTCTGATAAGTAATTATTAACTATAAGGGTTTAAGATTAGTTGGTGACCCATTAAAATCTATGGGGATTTTTCCAGTGTTCTTATGGTCTTTAAAACAGATTCCTACTGTTATCAGACAGTTTTGTTGCTTAGCGTATGTGTTTGAAGGAAAAGGAGTTCCCTGTCTAACTGTATGAAAATACACAAGTAACATTCTAGCCTTTATATATCGTAAGCTGGTATATAATAAGCATATTTGCAGAAGGCTATCTTTAATTTGCCACTAGCTCACTAATAAAGATAAATTGTAGAAGCCAAAAATACGAAATGCATCCAAAAAATCATCTAAGGCATGGTGCTCTTTGCAAGGCGTTTATCCAGCCTGTTACACGTGGTCTTCCTCTTACGAGCAAGTTCAGTTTAAGGCAAACACTGTTTGTGATAGATTTAAAGCTCTTTTTAGAAAAACTTGTGTTAGGGAATCCTGTTGCCTAGTATAGGGGGGGGAAAAAAGACAGAAGAAAAGTAGAAGAAATTTGTATATTTAACAATGAGAGCGGTAGTGGATTTTTCAAATAAAAATGCATCATATTCTATGTCTTAAGGAGGAAAAGTGAATCCTGGGAGAAGAGTGAAGGAGCTTTTGTGCAAACTGCAAATGCAAAGATACAGAAACAGGGCAAAATGCAAATAATGTCTGAATGCCACTGTTCCGTCTCTTCCATATAAGTTGCCTTGGAGATTGCTRCCTTAAGATCCATTTTAATATATGTTCCAAGAATGAAATCAGTATAAGACTTTTTTTTATCTTTTTTAAAAATAATAGCTTTTGTGACTTAATATTGTTTTTTAAAAAAGTAATCTCAACCATAAGAATATTTCATAAGAATTTTTTAAGTATTGAAGAAATCTAATTCATTTCAGTACCAGAAAGCTAAATTTACCGGACAGCATCCTGCTTTTAAAGGCAGGTTGGCATTGCAAAGCATGGAAACACTTTGTTGCRTCTTTTGCTTTATTTGCGGCTGTTTTTTGAAAAAAGAACTTACATCCTCAGGGCTGTATCAGACATCTCTTAGTGAACTTCCCAATTCTAAGGGTATTATTTCTGAAGTCCTCACTGTTCTTCCTCCCAGACAAATTCCATTATGTGTTGCCAATAACAATGCCATGTCACTCTATTAGGAATTAAATTAGGTAATGCATGTTCAAGTTGCTGGAAGATGGATGGTGCAGTAAAGTATTTCAACTAACCTTAAGAAATACATTCACTTAATGGCTAAAAATGGAATGCTTCTCTTCAATGCCTGGATTTTTACAAATGAATGTTAGAATAGCAGCAGTAGCCCTGTGGATAGAGGCTTTTGGGGACTGGCTGGGGCGAGGGGTTATTTTTCTTTAGATACAGTGCAACTTCTGAAGCACGGAGTGTTGCCTGTATTTCTCTGTTAATATCGGATGCTAAAAGACTCAATGTATTTCAGCTTGAGGTAATTTTTTTTCAATGCAAGCCAGACAGTTGCTAATAAAAACAGTTAAATCTTCCTTGCTTTCCTAGGATTGTCATATTGAAATATTTTAGATATTACGGAATTGGTGTAAGGGAGGTAGGCATTCCCTTAGCTAGCGTTCTCATCAGAAATTTAGCAAGTGAATAAACCTGTCACTCCTAAAAGCTAGCTCAGCTTTAGAGATACCGGTGTGGTGAAGAAGGCATTCTGGTTTGCATGGAGTCAGTGCCTTCTGATTTGTTTATCTTCTTTAAAAACTCCACTGGGACTTGCTCTTCCTGACCTTGCCTATTCTTTCCATTTCACTTTGTTACTTTGGAGTCTGTTTCTGCAAACAAATGTGTTACTTTGTGAACTCCCTCTTTGAACTCCRTGGAGCTACTTGGGTGAAAAGAAAAATAAGCCAGTGCCTCCTCTTGCTTTTGCATTTTGTTCAGGTAGAGATAATCCCTTCCAGATTGTACTGCATTGAGTGTTTGTATCAGGGCATGCTGCTTTTCTGTGCATGATTTCAAAGGATATTGGAAATATATCCTACTGGGGATGTAGAAATTCAGAGGGGTCTGTGGTGTTTTTTAGATATTTTTAGGGAGCAGAATAATGATCTTCAAAGCTTATAATGATTTGAATGGCAGAGGTGAGCAGATATAAAAATTTTTTTTTAGGAGTATGAACAGATATGAAACATTTTGGGGGTTAAGAATATGCTAACTGCTCTTTATGATACTTTCTGATGGTTTAGTGCTCCTGAATTTCAAGGGYACCACACAGAAGACTGTGCAGGGGTGCTTGTGCTTGCCAGGGAGCTGCGGGGCACGGGCCACCTCAGGTTCTGTGTCCCTGCCCAGGCCCAGGATCTCTCCACAGCTGGTGCAAAGGGCAAGTTCCTGGTAGCCTTTAGAGCTCAGGGTCCTGGCTATAGAGGCGCTGGGCTGCAGCTTGACACTAATACTGCTCTCTGGAAGGAGCTTCTGGACAGCCCTTCTGTATCGCATAATGCTGAGGTGCTTGACTTTAATGGGGCACACTGTCTTTTGGCTTGCATGCGTAGTTTATTCTCATGGAAATACTTCACAAGAGAAAAAAAAAAGTAAAAAGGTTGAAAAGCAAGTCATAATTTGTATGTAGCCTAATTACTATTCACTCAAGTCATCCTCTGCTTTTTGTTTTCCAGATTGTTTGAAGGACGATCACCAAGGAAGCCAGAGAAGCTTAAGACCCTTTTCTGTTATTTCAGGAGAGTCACAGAAAAAAGTATGTCTTTTAGTCCTTTCTTTGAGCTATAAAAACAGATGCAGGATGAGGTAAATCTTGTTAAATTTAGAAATGGCAATGAAACATTGTAATGGAAGTTTTTAACTGGTGCCAGCTTGCWGAGTACACTGGCATTTGCATTAGTGTAGCATTCTCCCGTTACAGATGATGCCTGCAGGCTTTTGTTTTGTTTTGCRTGGAGGTGGTTCTCTTTTCTTTCTTTTTGTGATATATGAGTGTATGTGTGTATGTACGTATATATACACACACATACACCTACTAAGCACACATGTGCTTAATATATACACCCYCTTGATGCAGTGCTTCATAGTGAGGATGCAGGGAGAACTTAGCAACATATKTAGTAAGTGCACGTACACAGATGAATACCAAGGTCCTGTTGTACATTTAAAAACCCTCAATGGAAATTCAGGTTTCCTGTTGTATGTCCATCTAATACATTGTCTATGAACTCTTRGGAGTTTTCCCTGTTTAAGTTAATATTTTGTATTTTCCCTTCAATTCTCCGAAAGGAAAGCTGTTGCRATGCTTTCCCAGGTTAAAATAAAATAAGCGATAGAGCAACATGTGAGATATGCTCAACTGTTGAGAATTAGCATGATATCTTCCTTGGTGTATTTACCCAGATCTTCCATTGTTACCGTAATGTGAACGTCTGCCACACTCAAATATTCATCCATCTTTATGAAAAAACTATATCAGAGTTTGTGTTGTATTTGGGAGGAAGGCATTATGCTCTAATAGTATCCATCACATCTGCAGCAATATCTTATTATAGTAATTTTTAAATTTTAGATTATTTTTCTTGACAGTTTCTCATTATTAGCTTCATGCTTTTCAAAGTGTTTGTTTTAAGCTATTAAGTAGAAATTCCCTTTGCTTGATTCAGTCTGTCTTAAGTATTTATATTTCTRCCACAAATTAAATGCAGCTACATGCTATTTAAGTTATTAAGCTTTAAGCAATGTTTATAGAATGAAATCTCTGAGGTCAAAAGTAAATTATGATCTGTAGATATGATTAAAAAATGTTGTGTGCTGGCACTCTTTTTTGTTTTATAGTTGAGTAGTAATGTTTTAATGCAAACCAAATCCTAAACTTATGCAGACATCCCTGCCCATGCATATGAAATCTCTTGGGGGTACACTTTATGAAAGTATTTTGTATTAGATTTCTTAATAATATAATTTCAAACAATATTTAATGAGATTCTTACATGCTGTCATCTTGAATTAAAAATTTGCACCATACCTTTGAAAGACCCTATTTCTTGTTCTTTTCTGTATAATGAATTAATAAGACTGAAGTAATGTAGCCCTATAAATTACTTTCATAACTCTTTATTATAAATGGTAAATGTATTCCTTGTAAGAGAATGCACAGGAGCCCATATAAGCTGAGGTATTTGTGCTATACTTAATTTGTTAAATATCACACAGTGCCCTTGAGGGAAAGCACTTGATTACTGCAAACTCTACATTTTTGAAGACCAAGCAATCCTTCATTTTCCTTAAGCCCCTATGATTTCTAAGAAAGTCCTACTGCAGGCTTAGTGTAGCAAAAGATTACATCTCAAATGCTGTTTTTTATTGGCATGACATCACCTCATAAAAGGTTGATGTTTTGTTTCTGTAGCACAATGGACCTCTTATTTTGCTGTAGTAAAGCAAGGAGAGAAGGTGATGGGGCATCTTCCCTATACTGGGTATTGACTCCCCTTTTCTTCTCGAGCGCTGGAGCTCTTCCTCATTGCAGAACAGTGAATTTCAGTAGCATCTGGGCAGGCCTGGACACAGCAGTGTGGGGAATCTACCAACACTGCGTCTTTGCTGAGACAGTTGGGGATGCTGGTGTCCCATCTAGGCACAGGCTGAGTACTCTGTGCATTGCCTGTAGGCCCAACACAGTGAATAGACTAAATCTCCGAGAGAGGACTTTTTTCTCCTAAGTGGCAACATGTTTTGCTCTCACTTCAACCATCAGTCCATTCAGTGAAGCTTACAATTTAAGTGAAAATCACTTAGAAAGCGGATTTTTTTTTTTTTCCTTTGGGGAAAGAAAAATATCCAGACTGCAAAGGGAGACAGCCTGGTTATTGGTAATATCTTATGAACACTTCAGTACTTTTGACTGATGCAAAGTGCAGAAATAAAAGGAAGCAGAAGCAGAGGGGTGAATGTTTTGCTCTTCGTGCTAATTGTTTTCAATTTGAGCCAGGAAGATACATCGGCTGCTTTTGAGGAAAGTTAAATTCTTATATTTCTGCCAGGAATTATATCTGTTGTAGTTCTAAAATCTTACCAATTAAAATAAGCTGAGGCCTAAATTTGTAGCAATTAATTTGTTGTCTTTGTGGTGTTCTGCCTGTAGAACCTACAGGATTGGTGACGTTTACGAGGCAGAGTCTCCAGGATTTTCCAGATTGGGGCAGGTAAGTCAAAAGTGCCATTAAACAAAAGAAATTGCTTAAATTAGTGATAGGCAATTCCCTAAGGAATTGATCGAGGCTTGGAAGTGTTGCAGGAAGCGCTGTTTGGTATGGGTTGTTACTGGGGAAGTTGGGAAGGAAGTGGCTGGAGTGACGGAAGCCGTTTGGGCACTCTGTGCAAAGGCAGCAGGYCTCGCGTGGATTTTGAAAACAGAAACACATCTTTGGTACTGTCAGGTGAATGGGGAATAGGAGCTGAGACTAATGGTGCCTTGATTTCAGGAATGACAATTAATAAAATAAAGTGGGATGGCCACCACAGAAAGATTGTTACAGCTTTCCAAATGGTTAACGTGTTAAGGTGGTAAACCTTGTGTGGAACTCCAATTTCAGATGTGAGGTTTTATGGTGAAAGATGTGGAGAAGCTTAGGGGTTGACTATGTTAAACATTAAATTCTTTGAGTGGCAAACACATTTCTTTAAGCAACTTTTAGCCGTCTTATGTTAGGCAGTATAAGAAGCTAGTGTGCTTGAATGGATTTTTCTTTTAAAATGTATATTTGTGTGTGTGGACACTGTAATCATCTTTTCTGTACAATATCTTTCTTCAATGATAAGGTCCCAGAAAAAGCTGACCAGATTGCATGTCACCTATGAAGGCACTATTGAAAGCAATGGACATGGCATGCTGCAGGTAAGCGTGTAACAATTAATGTGGCAGCTTAAAGTTATGCATTAATCCTCAGTTATTTAAATGATATTATGTGTCAAAACAAAACAACAGGCTTATTACAAAGTTCCCAAGTTCATCTAGTTTTGCAGATGTACCTGTTACACAACGAGCTGACAGAAAGAACAAGGCATAGACAGCTTTGGGTCTTGTGGTTCAACCAGGATCAAAGATTGACAAGCTGCAAGTTTCTGACTATGATCCTGAGCTGTCAAGATTTTTATTTATGTATTTATTTTTAAATGATTCTTGTGCCCCAGTTGGTGACCAGTTCAGTAGTTCAGAAGACTTTTTTTTTGCTGTTGCCAGCACCACTGTTTCAGTCTGGGAAACCAGTCAGCTATAAAAGAGAATGATAAGGAGGATGTCCTGTCCATATGTATATGGCAAGGTACATGTTTGAATTTCGCAGTTAGTTAAAGTTTGTTTGAATTTCGCAGTTAGTTAAAGTTTATCTTCCAGAGTTAAATTCAAAAAAAAAAAAAACCCCACAAGTTAAGAA